CCGTTTTGTCTCATAATCAAGATCAGACTTCATCAGTGTAAAGAGAAATAGAATCACAATGTAGTGACGTTTCCTAGTACGTAATATTGAAAACAGTCGGATTTCTTTTCTGTAGAGAATGAATAGTAATATTTTCAAGAAAAAATATTTTCGGATAGTTAATAAACGGATAGTTTTTAGGTATGATACTGCAACTCATTTCTTTTGACGTATATCTAGAGCTTTAAAAGCTCTATCGAATAATACGCAAAGGATTCTATATGATATTAAAACTTAGAGATTAGAGATATCAGTTCCCTTGATCAAATTTAGCATATTACTCCGTACATTGGTATCCGAAAAACATTTAAAAAATGTAATTTTGTAGACCTTGCTCAAGGCGGCGGCTTCTGTAGATTTATCAGATGAACAGTTGTCTACTAAAGGACCCAGTTGCCCATATGAGCCAAGTTTTGATTATAATCAACATTTATGACGAACGAAAGAATATTCTTGTGGAGATGCACAATGTATACCTAATTCTGCTCGATTTAAGTTTCATGACTACTTTGGTGAACAAATATGGTGTGAAAGTTTAAAAATTTAAATTATTTCTGTGAAGGAAATGTGTTCGAGCTAAAAATGCGGACAACGTCAACGGCACAATGCTGACCATTTAACAATTATTCGTACGTATCGAACCTTAAAAATTTGTCGACAGACAAACGTTGCATTTACTTTATAGAATATGCTCTAAAACGTGGTCTTGACCGTCAATGTCCGTGTTCTTATAACATTTGTTCACAAATAATCAATATAAAGACGTATCTGTCCTACCCAACAAGAGCCTGGATAATGCTTTATAATATCTAAAAAAATCATTCCATCATGCCCGCCAATGATCATATTGTAATCAAAACTGGAAACTTTCTCATATTATATTTCTCATGTTCCCTAGAGCTCAAATCTTATCTTGTTCTGGATCGTGATACGACGATCCTGCCGAAGATTTTCAACGGGGGATTTTTCAAGATCGTATTGTGTTTTGTGCTCGAAACACGAGAAGATCTGAGAAATGAATAATTTACTGGTATTTTTATCCTGATCCTGGTTTGGTTCTTTTCATAAACAAATAGAACGAATCTAAAAAAAGGTCATAGAAAAAAGTTTTCTAAATCTTTTCAAAATTTATATAAAAGTTGTTTCACGGGTATGTAAACTGGGTTTCTAGAGATCGATACTCTATGTGTTCATTTCTCTTCTGTTCTATTTGGAAAATCCTGCAAAGATCTTGTCAAGAAATTTAATAACATCTTCGAGGAAACCTACTTAAATCCTGAAAGATGTTATCAGAAATCTTTTTTTTCCCAATTAGGAATTATTGAAATCCTGACAGGATCCTACAATTTCATGGCTACACACTTCTTCCAGGAATCATCGGTTTTATGGCTCAATCCTGGTTCAAAACACCGGTAAACTTGTCAGGATCCTAAAATTCCGTGGCTACACACTTCTTTAAGGATTTAGTAGTTTCGTCTGGAAAAAAGAGCGAATCCTTGCAGGATCCTTATCATATCTGTCAAGGATCTGGTGCTGAAACATCAAAGATTTTCCGTAGGGATGTTTAATGGAATGCCGGCAAGTATCAGTCCTGGGGCTCAAAAGAAATCCAACCACACCTGAACCACTGAAAATAAAGGTCTCGCCCGGCATTCGTTCTGTAGGAAACACCTTGGGCTAACTATCCATGAAAAATAATCTATTTATTTTTGCCTGAATTTTCAGCGTTATGGCTCGGTTTTCCAGAGATCCCAGAAAAATTGGGTTTTCAACAAATTTTGAATAGCTCGTCCGTTATGTAAGCATGTGGTGAGGTCTTGGCTATCGAATGACTAAAAGTGCAACTCTCTAGCCATTGTCAGTCAAACGTTATTTGAAAATGACTTTGTGGACACAGTAATAAGTAGAAACCACTTAGAAATCCAGTATATCGAAAAATGTTAATTTTATTAATGCGTGTCATTTTCAAAATTGTTGTAATAAGGACAGCAGCTATTTTAAGATTCATACCTTATTTTTCTTTATTATTTATTTATTCGACGTTTCGAAAAAAAATTTTTACATACCGGATACATACCGAAAATATCGGCTGCATACCGAAATTGCTTTTTCCTTTTGTCAGGATCTCGGAGTTCCGTGGCTACACGCTTCTTTAAGGATTTAGTCGTTTCCTCAGGAAAAAAGAGCGAATCCTTGCAGGATCCTTATCATATTTGTCAAGGATCTGGTGCTGAAATATCAAAGACTTTCCCTAGGGATTGTAGTTTTCGAGAGTCTTGTTTACAAGACTCGGATAAAACGATGTGTGGTAGACTGCTATGCGAATAATAGTTGTTGGCCATAATGCAGAACAGGACTTGCTTAAGCCAACTTATTTATTTAGTAAAAAACTTTCACAGCAAAAGGTCATGGAAGAACCTACTTCCTGATATTTTTACAGAAAACGAACCTTGGAAAAGTTGAGATTTAACACTGTACAAGTTTGTTTGAAATTCATTAAAGTAAAATTGATAGACGAACTAGCAGTTGACAAAACAAAACAGCAGAAACAAAAACGTTCATACAAAACAAAATAAAGGAAACAATCTTTAACACATTAAGACCAGTAGCATTTACAATTATTTTCGATGAAAATGAGCGTGTAGAACTTCTAGTTCTGTCAATTTACTTCCGTCGTTCTTTAATGAGTGCTCGTTCCATTAATGTCTTCCAATCTACACGTTCTTTATGCGTTACATGAAGATCACCTAATTTACCTAGTTGTAGCGTATTTCTTAAACCAGGTAGTCCTGCCTCTCCACAACAAAATACAAAATTATCGCCTTTTTTCAACCATTTTCTATTTTCAATTTCTTTTTCTATTGTTATTAATAAATTATCTGTAGTTGTTTCTTTGTCAAGATTGTGATTCAATACAATAGTATGTACGCCATAATTTAATTCTAAGAATTGTGCTAATTTTGATGTAAAAGTAACTATAATTATAGGACATGGTGGACGCAATTTAGAGATATATAAACCTAAATCATATGAAACACAAACTAAAATAAGAGCTGCTGCATGTACACCATAAGTAGCTGCGGCAACAGCTGATTTAACAATAGCATAATCTAAGCGTTGTGGTGATTTAACTTCATCGTTATGGATATTTGTTTCAGCTTCAACAACAATTGCACGCATTGCTTCTACAGTTTCAACTGGATATTTACCACTAGCTGTTTCACCACTTAACATAACAGCATCAGTATGATCATAAACAGCATTAGCCACATCACTTGCTTCAGCCCTTGTAGGAAACGGATTATTTATCATTGATTCTAACATTTGCGTTGCTGTGATTACAGGCTTTCCAGCTAAATTACATTTATTAATTAACATTTTTTGAAATGTTGGCACTTTTTCAAAACTACATTCTACACCTAAGTCACCTCTTGCAACCATTATACCATCAACAACAGCAATGATATCATCAATTACATCAATAGCTTGTTGTTTTTCAATTTTAGCTATTATTTTTGGTAACTGCTGATTAGTAGATGGCAATTTTTTTTGTAATAAATTACGTAGTTTGATAACATCATCAGCTTTTTGTACAAAACTTAATGCTATATATTCAACATCTTTTCCTAATGCGAATATAGCATCTTCTTCGTCTTTGTCTGTTAATGCATCAGTTGGAACTTGTAAATCAGGTACATTAACGCCTTTCCTTTCACCAACAATGCCACCAACTATTACACGACATAATAATTCTTTTTCTGATAAGCGTTGTTCGACTTTTAAGACAACTGCGCCGTCATTAATTAAAACGCGATGTCCTACGGACAAATATTTGATTAATAAATGTGCATGTGAAGTGCCTGTTGAGATGGCGGCACTATTTCCAATTGGTTGTAGTTCACCAGATACAAATTTGATGGTTTGTTCATTTTTCAATGTTATTGATTGATGATTTTCTAATTCTCCTAAACGATGTTTGGGACCTTGTAAATCAGCCATGATGGCCACATGACGATGTAACGAACTGGAAACGGAACGAATTAATTTGATGGTTTCAGCTTTTTCTGTTTGTGTACCATGTGAGAAATTGAGACGAAAAACGTCGACACCATGTTCAATCAACTGTTTTATAATCGTTTCATTGTCGGATGATGGACCAAGAGTGGAAACGATTTTAGTGCTCTTAAGAAGTAGAGGGGACAACACGCCGTCTTCACTAACAGGTGCACGATTGTCGGCAACAGACATTGTAGAGTAATCTATACTAAAAGGAAGTACGTACAACAAAGATCAAATAAGCAAACAACAATGGCGAAGAGAAAGCATGGACAAACGAGATTAGATTTTATCATTGGCTCCATTGTCCATGGTCGACTACTTTGTGCCTGCACTGGACATAACAAGCGAAAGATTGAATATTCTTTAAAATAAGCACAAGTCGTCTTGTAAGCACATTATTGTCCAATCTTTGTACGTGGAACATACTTGTGCTACATCATTATCGTTCTTTTCCTTTCGTTTAATATTTTTGCCAATAGAAAAGTAAGATCCAGAATGGCTCGCTTATTTATGACTAAAAGAAGTCAATGGTAGCCATGATACATAAATAATTACACTATAAATCATACTAGTGGAAATAGCGACTAAACCTCAGACGCTTTTTCTACACATAATGCTTGTCAGAAAAGCGTCTGACTCCATGAAGTAGTCAACAGTGTGGCAGTCGTTGAACTGACAGCTTTAAGGCGAAAAAGTGTCTGGAACGCGTACCCGTCACCTTTTGCAACTAAATGTGTGTCTGACACTTCTTCATGTTGGAAAGCTGTTAAAAAATATAAAACATTCATAATTTTACTCTAATTCTCGAGTGCGCTTTATATTGTTTGCAAGCCTGATATGCGAAAATGCTCTAATCGGGGAAAGAATACCTAGTTAACGACATTCATAAGTACATAAATCGGGCTATCAGCGGCGTAACTTATTTTCAAAACAATTAAAATTTAACATTTAAATAATTAGACGTATTATTCTGAAGCCTGAGCCAATTTCTCGAACGAAAAGTAGGTTTTTTTCCTCGTATCAACAGATAAGTAGCAGTCACTTTTCCAAATGAGAAATATGCTCAATTGCTGCCAGTCCGAAAGGTGACTGACGCGCTTACGTCAGTTGCTAAAGCGACTAACTGTAAGTCACTAACGAGGGATCTTTAAAAGATCCCTCGAAAAGATCATCTTTTCCAAGTGATAAATCGCTTTCCGTCCGAAACCTAGTGGGTTATAGGTTATCGATGATGCTGAATCCGAATATCAACATGAGACCTGCTGCTAGGCCTTCCAAGTATCGGTTTCGTAGAAAACCAGTTATTCAGAAACTCTAAAATATAACCCGAACCTTTCTTAATGAGGCATGATTGTAGCCCGCACATTTCGGATTGAAATGAGACATCTCCCAACTTTATACGACCTTTCTTTGCAAAGTTATAGAATTTACAAGAAAAGCCTAAATTAATTTCTTATTTCTGTAGCTTTGAGTTGATAGTGTACATTTAGGGCTTTCTTGTAAATTCCATAACTTTGCAAAGAAAGGTTATGTAGGGCTGCGAGATGTCTCATTTTAATCAGAAATGTGCGGGCTACAATTATATTTCATGAAGAAAGATTTTGGTTATTTTTTAGAGTTACTGAAAAATTGGTTTTCCAGAAAACCGGTACTTGGAAGGCGTAGGAGCAGATCCCTTGATTTTAAAAACTTATATCTGCGAACGACATTTTATGACTTTCGAAATCGCTTTCTGGAGACCCTCCAAAGATCCTCAAAAGTCTAAAAATATTGATAAAGTCAAGACAATACTCATGCCTACCTTCACGTTCGCAGCCAATATGGCTTAGAAATGTTATGAACTTCTCTGACTTCTTCTCTCTGTTGTTCTCTTTTCTGCGTTGTGGCACTGTATTTACACATATTTGGTATTTTTGTGCTTTCCTTTGTTACGAGATGTTTTCTTGAGCATAAAATAAATTTTCAAGTTCAAGTTCAAGATTACACAGAAAAAGCGCACAATGTAACGGATAATTTTATGGGAAACTTCCCACTATATGTAAAATGTTCTTCAAACTCGATGACACTGTCAGCGTTTATTCAGCTAAAAACAAAGAAGTGCTTCGGATGTTTCGTTTTGCTGTTGATAACAGCCATGCTAACTTTCCCACAGTATCCGCGGCAGTTCGATGATTCCGGAGGGAGGTGATCAAAATATTAAAAAAACGATTACATAACATCTCGATAGAGATTATGACTAAATCACATCATACTTATACAGGGTAAATGAATGCCAGCCAAAATGCGTTATGAGCTTTAAGCGCTGAATAGAATTAACAGATGTCACACGAAAAAGGCTTCTTCCATTGAGCAGAACGAATTTTTGACCACCTCCCTCCTGAATCATCGAACCACCGCGGATACTGCGGGAAAGTTAGCCTGACTGTTATTATCAGCAAAATGAAACATCTAGAGCACTTCTTTATTTTCCTTTTCGTCATACAAAGGCATATGTAAGCCATTGCCAGAGATCGGGTATATGATTAAAGCTTTTTTCAATCAAATTCGGAATCTCCTTGCAATTAACCCGTAGTAGCTTGAATATTATTAGGTTTTGCAAAATACGCCTTTTTCTCATATTCACATGATTAAAAGATATTTCAGATACTGGACGATAGAGAACATAATATTTAGTGCTGTTGGTGTGTTTATATGTTCTGCATAGTCAGGAGGCGCGATAGACTGTGCATAAATATTATATATAAAGACATCGCAAACTTTTAATAAATCACGGCTTGTCTCAGAGCTGACCACCTGCATAATTTTTCATCCCTGCACGGTCACCCGTGCAGGGGCAAAACAAAAGTTACCCGCGTTGCCCTTTGCAGGTTAGAAATTATATTTTTGCATAATTGAATGTGCTTTCAAATGAGATATGTCGGTATTTTTACGGAAAACCTTCATGTAAATGGGAGACAGTACCGAAACAATTACCCAGACTTAAGAAATTTCAGCTAATTTTGAAGAGTTACCGAATTCATGACGGAGGAACAAGTGTGGAACGAGTGTGACTCGAATTCTGGAATATTTCAACGCCAGTGTGGTAGGTGAATTCTCAGTTAGTTTGCTCCAGAATTCTTTAATTCGTTCACTATGCCACCTAAACTACGTTGGAGCTCCCAGCACCAAATCTGGGCCCGATCTGCTCAAAATATGGGCAACCAAAAAATCATACTATTAATTAAGATTTATATTTGAAGAAAAACTTTGAATGCTTAATGTAAGCGTATGAAAGTTAAAGTAAACCAAAATTTCCATTATTACTACAAATAAGTGGTCAGTCGTTTCGATTCACGGACCCTTGCACAGTGGGCATATAGGAAAAGCAACATAGATTTCTGCGTCCTGTTAGAAAACTCGATTTTCTAGTTGCAGTGAATCGATGCAAATTCGTCATTTTGACATATTCTTGAGCAAAACGCAGGGGCAAAACAAAATTTACCCGCGTTACAGCTTGAAGGTTAGAAAAAAATCTTTTGTTCTGCGCAAGAAGAGGTTGAGGGTGAAAACAAAGCAAATTTAAAAAAAACAAGTTTATCATTTTTCATGCATTGATACTAATACAAGCACTACCACCAACCAACCGTCTATATTCAAAAGTTCGTTTATATAGCAATCAATACCTTATAAAGAGAGGTATTGATTACATATATATTCGTGTTTCTTGAAAGTGAATAGTATAAGGAAAAAGGCTTTACAATTTTAGCGCCTTTCGCGGTAAAAGGCAATATTTTGCTAGTCATTCAGAAAATAGAATATAGGCTCTGAAAACGTTTCTGATTAAACAGATGTAAAGAGCATGACTTGAAGTATACGAATATGTCTATAGATACCATGTATATCGCTTGTTGGTAGAGAGCAATGAGTTTCGAATTGACCTAATCGGAGGTATGTGCTACCTCTGCTACCCAAGGATATAACTTTTTCGAAAAAGCAAATATATCTCAGTAGTCTCGAAGGATAAATGAATAAACGTTGAAAGTGTTATCGCGTTTGAAGAACATCTTATATATAGTACGAGATTTCTGGTGGAATTACCCAACATAAACCTAAACAGTTTTCTGGACACTCTCTGAAGATGCCTAGGGTCTGGAAGCAGTCCTAATCCATTCGCCATGGTACACTATCTATATTCTTTAACTTTTATTATTCGTAGATGACTTTTTGTGTTATCAAAATCGACTGAGTTCTGGCGACATCTGTCTCCAAAGCATAGAAAAAGTTTGCTCAGTTTTTTTCTCTCTGCATCAGAAGATATTTCAAGTAGTTTTTTCGAATATTTTCTCTGTCGTGGTTAAAACGAATTTCTATTTTTCTCTCTTGTGATTGGCTTATCGATGTACAGGTATACAAAAGTTCATCAGTCTATCGGCCGACCGTAAAACAAAATGGAAGATAGGATGAATCGCGGGAAGCTCACGCGCTTTTAACACAAGTTAAAAGCTATGCTAAAAATGCCAGCTCATCGGGGCGAGCTGTTTTAGTTCGTACAAATACTAAACTACGTAGCCACTACGTCATAAGTGGTTTATTGATTTTGTCCATTCTGGAAGTAACAGAACGAAAAAGAAAAGGAAAACCAATTGTTGGTTGGACCAGCCTTATTGCAAGACAATGGTCAAATTCAATAAACCAATTATAACGTAGTGAATAGATAGTTTAGTGTTTGTACGCACTAAAACAGCTCGTCTCAATGACCTGGGAGTTTTACCATAACTTAGTTATAATAAAATAAAATTTCTGTAAAAAGCACGTGAACTTCTGGTGCGAAAAATTCCTGCATATGTTGATTTTCTGTAACTCAAGAACGAAGCGTTTTTCCCATGATTGGCCGATAGACTGCATGTACTTTGTCGAACTGCATGAAAATCATGAGTAAGCCTTCCATTCAGTGTTCAAGTTTTTCCCAACACTTGTGATAGCCTACAGCGTTTCACTGTCTCAGTCTTGAAGCTGACACTGTGCGTTACGAGTACAGGGTATGGTGAAGAGTAGGTCGTATACCGTCAATCAAGCTGGTTCAGATTAGTTGCTGTTAGCGTGACTCTTGCTAGTCCTGTCGCTGCCACTCGCTTGTGAAAATCGTCAGCTTATGCTAAACTATATAAATCAGTCAAAGTTTTGAGTTTTGACTAATTTATATAATTTGGATCGCAGAATTCAGAATAATACTTTTACACTTACTGCAAGTTGTTATAAGCTTTATTGAAAGATAGAAACATAAAAGACAGTACAAAAAGGAAAGAAACGAAAATCACTTAGAGAAGTTTGTTTCATTTTTTCGGTTGTTATCTTGACTATGAACTCGATCCCCTTATGTGTGCGTATTTTTTTGTACTCTTCTCTAGAACACTCTATATTGAATAAAGAAAGATTTGATTTTAAAAAAGGAAGATTATTTATTGTGATGATGTTGCATGTATAGAAGTAGAAAGAAAGAATAAAAAACGAACAAAGATCAACAACACGAAGGAAGAGAAGAGAAAGAAGAAAAAGGTAATGGTTCGATAAATATATTAACCCTTGACCGAGCGCCACTGTTCTAATGATTAGTGGTCCGCGTGAGAGCAAAATGGTTTTCCACTTTGAAACTTGATTTCCACTCTGTTTTTAGCAGGGAAAACATGAAAAATCCAGGGATAAGCTGTGGAAAACTACTTTGCTTAAAGTTCTCATTAGAAACACTGGTGAGCGCATGCATAGCGTTTACGAAAAATTAATTGTTATTCGTAAAGTTACTCAACTGCAATTAATCATTCCCAAAGTTACAGCATTCCGGGAACAAAATAGTGTTAATCTATTACACTTGACTGGTTGATTCAATCCTATAGCCGGATTCTACGAAACGAGTGACGCTCGATAAAATAAATTTCCTACTACTAAAGACTTTTCTACCAAATGACACAGAATACTTGTAAAAATGGGAGACCTATTGTCATTGTTGACGTGATCAGAGATACCAAAGAAAAAGGGTACTTTTTACACTTATGAACACTCCCTACCGCCATCTTGAAAAATGGCGAAACCCGTGAAATACATACGGTAAACTATGCACCAATGAGAAAACGCCGAAGAGGCTGTTCAAGTTCGCTCTGGTGTAGCAGCGACATCTTTAAAAAAAAATATTATACACTGTGGTTATACTTTTTTCTGCCCCGTTTCTGATCTTCTGATTTTTGGGTTTGAACTGAAGTTTGGCTCATATCGCATGTATTGTATCACATTCAAATTGCTTTCTGTTCTTGTAGTAGGCAGTGGACAATAATATCCCAATAGTTCGTTATAAGTCTTCCCTGTATAGATCCTTATCTCAGAACCTGCTCATTCTTTGATCGATTACAGTAGTCTTTGAGCTTAGGCGCACTTTGTAGATACGTGCGCTCGAGAACTGGGAAAACTTCTGAAGTTTTCTATATTTTGTTTCTACCCATAGAATAACTTAAGAGAAAGAAACATCTCACAGGATGGGAAAAATTGGTGTGTTTTAGAATTGTCTGACATTTATTGCTTAAAAAGGTATGATTAATTACCTGAGCACCAAAAATTGCGTATGCTGACTTTTTTCTGATTTTCATCTTTTGGACCTGGGTGTCCGGCATAAACATCTCCTAGTGTCCGTAGTCATAATGTTGAACTATTTGATTTTCGATAAGCTCTGGAGTTTACTTTTTAGAAACATTTATTGCTCAGATAAACTAAGTCCCACTTGACTATATTTTTCAATTCTGATTCGACATATGATTGAAAATGATCTTAAGTTAAAAGTGAAAAAGACTGATGATGCAACATCCAAAAAACTTCGTTTTCACAGCATAAGTAGAGCATAATGAACTGCGTCGATTGACGTTTGAAAGAACTTTCTAGCTACTTTAGTTTCCGAGATAATCGTAGTTTAATGCGTCAAAAACGTAACGCCGTGACGTTTGGATACGCTGTTCACTAATAGCAGAGAGATCATACATCAAGATACTCACATTTGTGAAGACAACAGCCTCTGAGGCATTTTCTCACTTTTGTGCATTTTTATTTTGAGATCCTGTGCAATCACTGTGTTTTAACTGAATCTATACAAAAGAAGATATCTTAGATTCTATGCATTATGTGAGAACGATAAAGACGTCTCGTAATATGATCCAAAAAGGATAAGTTCAACTCTGTGATTAAGTATAATGAAAGGACTCTTAGTTCTTTCTCGCCCTCTCTCAAAAACTGCTGTGCACTTAAGATGCACGGAAAGCAAAGCTCGAGTGGAATTTATTTTTGGATGTATTGTACGTCTGAGATGGAACATTCTAACTATTTTTTCCTGATTCAGCATCGAAAACTGAATTAGGAAATTGTCTCAAAACCGCTTTTAACCTAAACCCTTTGACCGTCACAGACGTCGCGAGCAGACAGTCTCCAAGGCATGACACGAACTTTCTAAACCTATCACAGGCAAATCGAGTGATGTGTATTTCGAAATTTTTAGCTCATTTTTATTTTTTGGGGATTTCTCAAAGTGAAGTTCGAAAAAAATTAGGGAGTACTCGGATAGGATAGAGATACATATCACTCGATCCGTCTTCCGATCCTGATTCCAAATATGATATTTTTATTCCATAGAATTTGAGTTCTATTTGAATAGTTTGAACATTACGAGGAGAATTCCGACCTTTTTGAAATTTCAAAAAGACTAAAAGTTTTTTTGGGTTTTTCACACCTTGCGCATTTTTCGACTGAAAGTAAGAGTCAGGAAAAGTCAAGGAACACATATTTGTGATCAGCTCGCCTCTGTCGAATGGTGTACGATACGTTCAGAAATAAATTTCATTTGAACTTTGCTTTCCGTGCATCTTGCCTTGTAAAATACTTCAATTTCTTGGTTTAATTCCTCTGAAAAAAGAACAAAACGACGCATAATTTGCAAAAAGAAAACGATGAGAAAAAAAAGCAGTTTCGAACTATGTTGAGAAAAGGTGAAGTCGCACCAAGTGTTCCCTCGCTTTTGAGCTGAGACTCAGTTGAACGGAGGTAATCGAACATGCTGATTCCAAATTTCATAATGGTTTGGGCTAATTTTGACTTTAAAGCCCCGGTTTTTGAAGATCTTGGTTTTCAAGCCGAAAAACCATTTGCGCTGAAATTGTTTTTTTATCTGTCCAATTGATAGAGTACGTCTCGAAACCTACAGAAAACCACTTTTCAAGGTTTCATGAGAGGTTCTGAGCGAGTTTTCTACGCCAAAAACTTAAAAAAAGAGAGCAAAAACCGGCTTTTTAGCGCAAATGGTTTTCCGGCTTGAAAACCAAGATCTTCAAAAATCGGGACTTTAAAGTCAAAATAAGCCCAAACCATTATGAAATTCGGACTCAGCATGCTCGATTACCCCCAGTCAACTGAGTCTCAGCTCAAAAGCGGGGGAACACTTGGTGGCCTACCCTCGAGAGAAAGGTTCTAGTCTATATATACAACGGTCATACTTTCTTTTTTTAAAAACATTCTCACATAGAATACATGTGTGTATATATACATACATATTTACTCAGCTGTTTCTATACATTACGTTCGAAAAACGATAGAAACACAAAAGAATAAATAGGATATACTAATATTATCACATGTTATGTGAAGATAGAAAAAAACAGGAAAAATACGCTTATATAATATTTGATACAGTCCTAATAAAGTATGTGCCTGACCTCTGAAAACAGCCCGTTTACGATCTACCACAATCGACTACAAAAAACAATCAAGAAACGGCTTAAAAATGGGCCATTAACGATATAATAATTAATTGGTTGTTTTTTGACTTTAACATTTACTGACTGTTTTTAGACCTTACTTTTGAAGACCTAAAGACGAATGAAATCATTTATAGGTTATTTTCAAACCGTTAACAGACTGTTGCTAGGCAGATGGTGAACTGACTGTTAATGGGCAATTTATTGCCCGTCTTTTTTCTCCTAGGGAGTTGTCATTCATATATATAGACTATATACAATAATCTTTTCAATTCAATTCATAAATATAAGATATTGTGCAATATGTAGATATAGTAGGTTTACATGGTCTTAATCGAAATCGGAAGATTTTTCAGTTAAAAATAGTATTAATAATTTTATAGTCAAAAACGTGAACAGAAAATATGTAACATTGATCTTAAAATCTCAGTTGAATAATAGTTATACTATTGTATAATTTATTGGACACAAAATGGGCTATAGTTTGCATATTAGATATTGTATACGTTTTTTTTTATTCTAATTCATTTAGATGACTGAACCAATTATTTTTGATATTACTATTAATTTTTCTACATTAGAATCTGATATATTTCCATTAATTCATAAAATTCGTCCACAATGGTCTTTATCAAATACTCAATTTAAATTATTTCCAGAAGGTAATACAAATATCATCATTGGTCTATTTCAAATTGATCCATATTCAAAACAGATTATAAATGAATCTGATGGTCTAATTATAAAACTATTTGGTCAAAATAGTGATCTATTTATTGATCGTCAAATTGAATTAAATACATTGAAAGAATTATCAAAATATGATTTATCAAATAAAATATTCTGTCAATTTCATAATGGTCTTATATATTCATATAGACCAGGTGAAGCATGTACAAGAGAACAAATAGCTGATAAACATATTTCAAAATTAATAGCTAAAAAATTAGCACAATATCATTTATTACTATTAGAAAAAATAACAAACGAACAGAATCCAAAATCATATTTAATACCAACAATGAAAAAATTTTTAAATCTTTTAAATGATGACTCAGGTAAGTTGAAACAGTATAGGAATTATATTTCTATGGTTTACTATTCTAAAACATCAAGTTATGTTAGCTTTCTGATCACTATGTCAAGTTGATACTAAATCCAAATATTTGTTTATAATAAAAGAAAACATGAAAATTGAAATTTTGTTGTGCGTGTATTTGTTTACGAAATGTAAAAATTATTTTGTGGAAATGTGAGAAAAAGTTTGTATGGAAAATGCGTTCAAAATCGAGTGAGAATATAAGGAGGTGCAGGTTTTCAGTTTCTTCTCTCTTCAATGCACATAGTTTAGCTTTTCATCTGTTTTCTGATGCATTGTGTGTATTTTCCTTACTTACTAATTTGTTCAGGGTATGGTGAAGAGTAGGTCGTATACCGTCAATCAAGCTGGTTCAGATTAGTTGCTGTTAGCGTGACTCTTGCTAGTCCTGTCGCTGCCACTCGCTTGTGAAATTCGTCAGCTTATGCTAAACTATATAAATTAGTCAAAGTTTTGAGTTTTGACTAATTTATATAATTTGGATCGCAGAATTCAGAATAATACTTTTACACTTACTGCAAGTTGTTATAAGCTTTATTGAAAGATAGAAACATAAAAGACAGTACAAAAAGGAAAGAAACGAAAATCACTTAGAGAAGTTTGTTTCATTTTTTCTTATGTTCCTGAAGAGAGCCGCTCAATCATAGAATAGGGAGGTGCTCACGAGGGAACCTCTTCAGGTGCCCAACGCCGATTTCAATGATCTTTTGCCACACTGTATATTGTCCTAGTAACAAGCCAAAAAGAATTTGGGTTTTTATTGCTTCCTGCGAAAGTTATTGAATTTTTCCTTCAGAGTCTTAAAAGACTCAATATTTTAGTTTCATAACGTTTTCTTTCCTTTCGTATGTGTTCAAAATTTTTTCTTATACATAGTCTCATAGAAGAAAGCCTTCTCTTCAAAATGAGATCTCTCCCAGAATTTTCCGATGAGTTTGAGTGGAGATATAAGCATGACTGAAAATGCCCTAAAAAGGTGACCTGTGTACAAAACGTGTTTTTTTAAAAACGTATTTTGTACACAGCTCACTTTTTTTAGGACATTTTCAGTCATGCTTATATCTCCACTCAAACTCATCGGAAAATTCTGGGAGAGATCTCATTTTGAAGAGAAGGCTTTCTTCTATGAGACTATGTATAAGAAAAAATTTTGAATACATACGAAAGGAAAGAAAACGTTATGAAACTAAAATATTGAGTCTTTTAAGATTGTGAAGGAAAAATTCAAAAAAAAGCACCTGAAGAGGTTCCCTCGTCAGATTACAACGATTCATTTCAAGCAAAAATCGTCCCGTCGGACCACAAACTGCTCAGTATAAGGTGGCGCTCATCTTAGAGAGGTACTCACATATAGATGTTTTACTGTACCTCGAAGAGTTTGTTTATCAATATTCTAACCTAACAAAAGTTATCTGAGATTTACTTTTCTTAGTATTTTGTATAGTTGTATTAAACGTTTGAGAATGTCACTGAACAAAATTCATGATGATTCTTGTATAACTTTAGTAGTTGTAAACATTATCCTGTTTATATTAATATTTTTGAATTGTTTTCATTTAGATTTTCGAATTGATTCGTATACATGTTCTAATTTATTATCTGATATCGAACATATTGAATCAATTATTTTGCCAAAATTAAATTTTGATGTTGTCTATTGTCATAATGATTTAATATGTAAAAATGTTATATATGATCGTTCGACAGATGATGTTTCATTTATTGATTTTGAATATGCTATGTATAATTATTGGATATATGATATAGCAAATCATTTTATTGAATATGCTGGTGTTGAACAACCAGATTTTAATTTATATCCAAATATAGAACATCAAAAACAATTTTTACAAACATATTTTTATTATAGAAAATTAACAAATATAGACAATGATTATTTAAATAATATATGTGATTTGATTGATAAATTTGCTGCTCTATCACATTTATTTTGGTCACTTTGGGCATTTGTACAAGCAAAAATATCAAAAATTGATTTTAATTATAAAGAATATGGATACATGAGATTTAAAAAATATTTTGATTTTAAAACAAAATTATTTGAATAAGACAAAGAGAGAGAATGTATACAATATCTCATATGTATTTTACACCAAAAAAAAATGGTGTTTGCCTTAACCTGTTTTTTTGCAGACAGTTTAAGATCCCTTTCAAAGGTACTCTATTCCAGGTCAAACAATCCTATCGTAGAATCTTACAAGATCCTACTCTAGAATCCTTTAAGATCCGCAATCCTGTAAAATCTTGTAGGACTTTGTAGGAAAATCCCAAAGCCAAAATATCCTACAAAATCCTACTGTAATCCAGTGGGCATTTTTTCATAGAGCAGGTGGACATTTGGTTTTATGAGTTAAAAAATGATTATTTTCCAATAATATTGTCTTATTATGTGTCAAATTTTAACAGAAGTAAGAAAAATTAAATTCGAAAAAAAATAATTTTCCGATGAAAAATCTCTGAAGGGAACCCTTGCCCTGAATTTTTATCAAATAATTTTTTATTTGTAAAACTAATAAGTGATACTCGATGTAGTTTTTCACGCTGATTCCAAATATGTATAATTTGTCTTGATAAAATTGTTTTTTGATATAAGAAAACTCAACTTTACCTTAAAAACCAGGGCTTTATTGAAAATCTGTCATTCGTCTAGTCAAAAAAACCGCGTGCGTTATAGATGCAAGACACCGAGATGAACGTTTGATGTAAATTTGAACGTCATCAGAGTTTAGGAAAATTTAGGAAGTCTATTGCACTGGTAACGTAGCGAGGAAAACAGATTTTCTGGGAAAAACTACGGGCTTTTTATCCACACTTTTTAAGATAAAGCAAAAATGTTTTCAGCATTAGATAGCTGTCATTTTCCTGCTTCAGAAATTATCAAAACGAATTGTTTCGATCGCTTTGTTTGAAATACGCAATCAACATTTTCAAATCAGTACATAGATTATCTTTATCAATTTTCTAAACAAGGAAAATTCTTAGAAAGAAAATTTTTTCATCATTAAATCGGTCGTCAGCAATAATATGTATGACGCATAACTGTACGTACGTTTTTCGTTTTCTTTCTTTCGTTTCGTTATATAACCTCTCTTGTTTCGCTGTATTCGAATCTCTTACGGCCTATCACTACTTGTGAGTACTGACTCACACGTTGTCGAGCAATAGCGAGTTTTAATGACTCATACTGTTCGGTGCGAAAATTTGAGCATAAAAGAATTTTTCGTTTTCTACAGAAGAGTTGTATTTATATTCGAGTTCCTGGAATAAAACACGTCGGTGATTGTATTGTCGTAGAAAAGGAAAGTAAGTATATACAGAACGACAAAATAGGAATTCTACAAAATCTTACCGCCCTCAGAATCAGCATGCCGCCATAAAAATGTCTACATTTCCATATCGAATTCACTAAAGAATCAGTAATGGAGTATACCCAGTTTCATTCGAACTGACACGACCTCAATATAGTCGAGTTCCACGATTTTCCTGGCCTCGAAAATAACAATAAAATATATCAATATGTCTCCGAACACCCACTCTATCTACAGTGTATGCGACTTTTTATCTAAGCCGAATTATCGATTTTTCAAAACCCATACGGTTTTCGGGGTATTTCATGGTTTTCTCGCTTATAAATGCACTTCCCTCCAAGTATAATATCATATTCGGAATCAACGTGAAAAACTGCATCTAATGGTGTATAACTCATCTAGTTCCGGTCGCTCGATTTTGAATCCTAGAAATTTCTTAGTTTTGAGATTAACACAAACAATTTCGTGCTGAAAATTTGAATTTCAAGATAAAGTAACCTGAACGACTCGAAACATGTTTCTTATAGGTTTTCGACAATGCTCT